GTTATAAATGTTATAAATTCACTGTAAACCACGGCTTCACGGGGCTTATTGCTTTATTTTTTATGTCTAATTTTTAGTAATTTTAGTACTTTAACTTCAACTTGTTTTATTTCCTTTAGTCACCAAGGCAGTAGGGATGTAACGATTCACTCAAATCATGACTCGATTCGATTTTTTTTTTTACAAATTGAGATTTAAGACAATACAGCGTTTCCTTGGTTACCGCTGTAAACAAAGCAGCTGCACTTCTGAACAGCTGCACTTATGAACAGCAATGATACAGCGTTTCCTTGGTTACCGCTGTAAACAAAGTAGCACTGCATTTATGAACAGCAATGATAGTGTTTCCTTGGTTACCGCTGTAAACAAAGCAGCGCTGCACTTATGAACAGCAATGATACAGTGTTTCCTTGGTTACCGCTGTAAACAAAGCAGCGCTGCACTTCTGAACTTTAATATGCATTATACAGAGGCAAGAAGAAAAGAAAAAATACCATCTAAACTTGTCTAAAGACAGTAAGTTCCCCTCAGACATGCATTCATATAAACTCCTACCCCTAAATGAATCGTGATTTGTTTAGCATCTCAACCGATTTGAATCGTCACATATTTGAATTGATTTTCAACCGGCTTGCAGTTAATCGTTACATCCCTACAAGGCAGTATTTGTAATGAGGATATATGGTACACTTTTGTTTTGTTTATTTCAGTGTTAATTTAGTATTATTCATAATACTATTATCATATTCATTAATAATTTGAATTCACTTTTATTTTTATATTTTACATTTTTTAAAGTAATTTTGTGCATTTGCCATTTTTATAAATGTTTTATGTTTCTCTAACTTTAATTCAGTTTTATTTTGTCATTTTAGTACTTCAATTTATTTTATTTAGTCACAAAGGCAACATTTCTAATTAGGTATATACGGTACGCTTCTATTTTGTTTATTTCAGTGTTTATTTATTATTTATATACCATTGTTTATATTTATTAATAATTTATTATATATTTTTTTAGAACATTTTTAATTTTATATTTTCAGTTTTCATTTTAATTTTAAATTTAATAATTTTGTTACATGCTTTTTTTATTATTGTTTATATTTCTGTTTAACTTTGATTTATTATTTATTTTAGTTTTAGTAATTTTAGTACTTTAGTCAATTTTTAGTAGTTTATTTTAGGTAGAGCACTTGTCACATGGTTTAATTTAGCAGATTAGCACAGTTTTTTCATGTTAACAGTAAAATGACAAAAAAACAGTTGTCCATTTTTATAAATGTATAAGCATTACAAAAAACAATTTGCAACAAACATAAGTCAGCATGATTATCTGAAGACATACATGTTTTACTGTCTTCTCATGATCAGACTATAAAGATAAGTCTGTGTGTGTGTGTGTCTGTCTGTGTCTATCTGTGTGTGTGTGTGTGTGTGTGTGTGTAGTTGACAGTCCTGTTGACAGACTGTGTGTGTGTGTGTGTGTGTGTGTGTGTGTGCGTGTGCGTGCGTGTGTGTGCGCGCGTGTGTGTGCGCGTGTGTGCGTGCGTGTGCGTGTGCGTGCGTGTGCGTGTGTGTGTACGTGTGTGTGTGTGTGTGTGTGTGTGTGTGTGTGTGTGTGTGTGTGTGTGTGTGTGCAGATGATTCAGAGACTCTGGGCGACACTGGCGGCGGTGTGTTTAACGGAGAGAAGCGGGTGCTCTATTACGCAGACGCTCTGACAGAAATCGCCTTTGTCGTGCCGTCCCTCAGCGACTCGTCCGGTAAAACACTCTCTCTGTTCAGTTTCTGCATGCTTTTGGATTGGTTTCTGTATTCAAACACTTTTAGGTTTTATTAAATTTGTGGCTGAACATAAACGTGAATTTGAGGCATCAAGCGTCCTTTCTAACACACTGCAGAGGACTATTAATGGAGTATTGATTTCTCCATTAGTTTAATGCATTTAACCCATTTAATGAATTCATATTGATTTATTAAATATGACATGTTCTTTTCACTCCTACCGTAGCCGAGTCATCAGAGCACAGCTTCCCGACGGCAGACTCAGACTCTCAGATGGAGCTGTTACCCAGTTTGCTGAAGCAGCCCAACCTGACGCTGGAGCTCTTCCCCAACCACTCCGACAACATGGGACCCACACAACGAGTAACTCCCTCAGCTTTCAGATCACTGCAGTTCTGAGGCAGTTTAACCTGCCAGTGTATTGGTCTGTCACTAATTACATCTGTCAGCGAACACACATCTTCTCCCATTGCAACTGTTTGCCTCAGTGTTACACATTTGTCCTTGACTGCTGTTCTCATACATACATACACATATGCACATGTACATACGTAGAGAGAGTGAGAGAGTATATAGTTATATATAGTTTGGAATTAAAAGATCTTAATTATATTTTTTAAAAGAATCTCTCTTCTCTTCTGCTCACCAAGGCTGCATTTATTTGATTAAAAACAGTAAAAAAAAAATGTACAAAAGTGAAATATTACAATTTAAAATAGCTATGTTCAGCATCATTACTTCAGTCTTCAGTGTCACATGATCTTCAAAATCAGCATATTAGAATTATTTCTGAAGATCATGTGACACTGAAGACTGGAGTAATTATGCTGAAAATACAGCTTTGATCACAGAAATAAATTACATTTTAACAGATATTCACATAGAAAACAGCTATTTTAAATTGCAATAATATTTCACAGATTTTTTACTGTATTTCTGATCAAATCAATGCAGCCTTGGTGAGCAGAAGAGACTACTTCCAAGTTTTTGACCGCTAGTGTATAATGTTTATTCTTGCACTCAGTCCCCGACAGTGAAAAGCAGGAAGTTGCCGTCTGGCAGGACGATACCACCGTTAGGACCGGACACCAAAGTGTTGGTCGTGTGGGTTGAGCGATACGATGACATAGGTAAAATTTTCCACATACATAAAATTCCTTGATTTTCAAATTGTTTCAAAATACATCCTACATCAGATTTGTCCTGTTTCTCTCAGAGAACTTTCACGTGTCGGAGTTACTAGCGGAGACGAGCACCGGCGTGGAGACGGCCGTCAACAGCAGCACTTCCAGGTAACAAACCGTTTGAAAAACTGATTCCAGTCCGTGAATTGATCTCATTCACCCTCACACCTGTTCTCTCTCAGGTCCAGCTCCTCAGAGAAGGACGTTCCCATAATATTCATCCATCCGCTGAAGACCGGCCTGTTTCGGATCAAACTGCACGGCGCTGTGGGCAAATTCAACATGGTCATTCCTCTGGTGGACAACATGGTGGTCAGCAGGAGATCACTGGGTGTGTGTGTGTGTGTGTGTGTGTGTGTGTGTGTGTATGTGGTTGTAAATGAAGTCTGCAGTGATGAATTTGTCATTCTCTTACTCTCTCCAGGATTCCTGGTGCGTCAGACTGTAATAAACACATGTCGGAGGAAGCGTCTCGAGAGCGACTCTTACAGCCCGCCTCATGTGCGGCGGAAACAGAAAATCGCAGAAATCGTGAACCGTTATCGTAACAAACAGCTAGAGCCTGAGTTTTACACCTCGCTCTTCCAGGAGGTCGGTGAGACGAGCCTCAACCCATAAACGAACACGCAGACCAACGCAAACCAAGGTGGATTTCAACTGCACTTGAGTTGGTTTTGGATGAATTAAATTTTTTTTTATGTTGATTTGGCCAAATACTCGCTCAACTCAACCTGAACACTATCAGTGCCCACCTGACAGGATGATTATCGTCCAGATCTAAAAACTGAGCATTTATGTCTCCTTTGAATCTCGGAAAATATATATATATGTATGTATGGTTGTGCAAAACATATTTCTATATTTTGCATGAAGAAAATGAAGCCTTTTTTATTTTATTATTTATGACATTATTTTCATGGCATTTCAGCACATTTCCTCCCCAAATTGTCAATACATGCATTTTTTATTTATAATAAATAATAAAAAAATAATAATAATTTATAAAGAATAATTTTCATTATCCTCAAATGTGATTTCCATTATTGTAATACCATAAAAATACTGTAGTACACTGGTGTACTACTGATTAATAGGCAGTACAACAAGTACCACCATGATGTATAAATACTTAAAAATGTAATTAATACATGATTATTTTTTGCCCTGTTTTTGCATTGCATTTCATTTATGAGAACGTCAATTAATATCAATCTTAAACTCTTTAAAACAGGCTTTATTTTCTTCATGCAAAGCAAATTTTTTGTTCTTGTAATTTTCATATTGGAGTGAAATATGACTGATTGAGGGGTTTGGTGAGACTCACCCTGCTACTGTACTTCACAATGAATGACATTTTACTTCATCATGTTTATAATTTGAAGGAATGTCCTCACATGAAGCCATTTCCTCTAAAGCACTATGAAAATGAACACTAAACTCCAGCAGCCAATGATCTGATGCCAGTCGCTTCTTCATCTTCCTCTTCAGCTCATGCGTATCACTCTTCATCACGTAGTTCAGTCTGCGCTGAACGTTGTTTCCGTCTGCAGATGATGAGGAACGACTGAGATATGCTCGTTCACGTCTCATGTTTGCATTTTGATGGTTTAAACTGCTAATAGCAGAAAAAGTAGGGATTTTCAGCGCACAGATCCTTACCATGATGCTACTTTACTTCGACTCGTAATGCATTTCAGTCGAAACACGTAAGGGCTTATCATTTATTCCTATTCTTTTATTGAGTGTTTCTGACACTTTCTCATTGGCCACATTTCATTTATTCAGCATGTCCATCATCAAATCAGACTGAATTCACTGTTTTGACTCCGTATAGAAAGCACTACAGGAATAATCTATGTAAAATATTCCTGTTTCCATCTGCATTCAGGATGGCCTGTGTTTATTTATTTAAGTTTTCCTTTATAAAAGGCCTTCAAATGCAGACGTCACCCAAACACAGAGCCGGATATTGCTGATAATAATTCGTCAGAAGCTCCCTGTTAACGCTGCGTTTCTTTTGTAAGAACAAACTGTAAAGGCTGGTTGCTCGGAGGCGTCTCTTTTTCCGTGTGTAAATATTGACGGCATGGACTTTGTATAAAGTTTGACTTTCTATGTAAATATACGCAGGTGTGAAGTTCTGCTCACTCATCTTATACTATTGATTAGGGACGGCACAACAGATGAACACTTGTTCGTATTCATACCATCATATATGTGTCCAAACAAACATTGGATATTGAATGTAACACATGTAATGGAATAAAGATTTTAAAGAAATTCTTATCAGAGAATGGCTGTGAATGCTTTGCTGTGAGCGTGTTCTCCTGCGTCGGCAGCTCTCATTAATCATGCTGTTATCTCATTCAGCTCTTGATGGAAATAAAACCCAATTATTACCCAACAATCATCTAGCACGCTGGTTTCCATGAATAGGAAACAAAATAGAGCTTGAAAATGAAGTCAAACTTTTGTTCTTATTCAACAAAAGGTCAAAAGCAGCTTAACCTGCTCAGTAGTTTCCAATTCAGTACATAATATGAGCTGTTTCATTTGACATGCATTTTATGTGAGGTTTGTAATTAGTAATGTGAATTATTGCAACACTGATTTAAAAAAAAAAAGTCATTTAAAACCTTGATTTGTGTAGGCTTATCGGGTAATAACTAGTTGAGATGATTGACTTTTGTTCTTACAATTTTATGTTCATGTTATGCTGGTAATTTTATGTTAGATCATAGTTTATCCATCAAACCTAATGGATATTTTTCCAGGGAAAATGTGATATGTCTATATTTATTTATTTATATTTACAGTTATATTTATGCCTCATTAAAAATTAATAGTTCAGCCATAGTTCAACAATCTTTAATCTCTCAATCTCTCTCTTATATATCCTGCACTAGATACAGTCAGTATTGTCCTCATTTGTAAGTCGCTTTGGATAAAAGTGTCTGCTAAATGATTAAATGTAAATGTACAGTGTTAAGGAAAGTGTAGTGAAGTATGAAAGCATACAGAGCTGCTTTTCACTGAAATGGTCACAGGTGCCGCAGTCAGAGCATCGATCCATCGTTTCCATTCACAGTGTGCTGCAGAAATACAGAGACTGATTCTCAGCAAACTTGAGATTCACCTCTGATGTTAATAGCAGAATGCAAAGTGTCGCTGTCATGCAAAATACTATTTTTAATGTCTCCCGCCATGACCACTTTCTAATGGGTTTTATAGAATGAAAAGTGAATTCAACCAGAATTTTGTAATTAATTTAGATGTCAGTTATCAATTGCATATAATTTAAACTAAAAATCATGTTTTTACTATGTAGCTTTTTTGTGGTTGTTTTTACTCTAAAAGGTTTTCTAAGAAAATGTTGAATTTGTCTTTTTTTACTGCACTGTGCTATTATCTGGATTTAAAATAATGAATGTATCTTTCTGACATTACATTTAATTTTTTATTATTTTTTTTTTTTGCAATTCTAGAAATCTTATGACTACTTTAAACTTTTATTCAAACTGAGGTAAGTTTCTTTTATTATCTTTATCAGCATTTCATTACATTTACAGTCATATTTACGCCTAACTAACATTTAAAGTTCAGCTATATTTCAGTTTAAAAAAATACACTTATTTTTTATTGTTTTATCACACACACACACACACACAGTGCAGCACATAAACACACACACACTGCAGCACATAAACACTCGCACACACTGCAGCACCTAAACACACACACACACTGCAGCACATAAACACTCTCACACACACACTGCAGCACATAAACACACACACACACACTGCAGCACATAAACACACACACT